GGAGCCGTTTCTGCGTTGGCCAACGGTGTGAACCGAGTTTGGGGAGATTTATCAATGGGGTCGAGGATCAAGAATATAGCTTTGCTCCAGCCGGCGTGGCTGAGTGGTTGAGCGTCGACCTATGAATCAGGAGGTCTCAGTTCGAGTCCCGGTCAGGGCACAGGCCCGGGTTGCGGGCTTGATCCCCAGTGTGGGGCGTGCAGGAGGCAGCCGGTCCATGATTCTCTCTCATCATTGATGTTTCTGTCTCTCTCTCCTCTCCCTTCCTCTCTCTGAAATCAATAAAAACATATTTTTAAAAAATAGGATGCAGCTTAAGAAGGTGATTTAGACAGAAGGTCTCGTGCAGCGGCCCGATGGGGTCTCCCCAGCACAGAGCACAGCGCGATGCTGGCCGCTCTTGTCCCGAGGCAGGGCCCCTGCAGCCCCGCGGACACCCAGCCACGTGGCCGGAGCCTCGGGCCACAGCTCCCAGGCCGTCCTGTCTCCCCACCAGCTCTCCCCAGTCCTCCCCTCCCGAGACACTGGACCAAGTCAGGCAGCTCAGCCCACGCCTCAGCCACCGAGAAGGGCCACCAGGACCCCTGGGCGCCGGTTTCCACGCCCGGGAAATGGGAACTCCCAAGGGGGCTCCCGGCCCCCTTCCCGGGCGCACTCCTCTCCTGAGGTGACCCAGGGGAGTCCTGGTACCTTTGGGCGTTGGTGTCGGAGGAGTCGTACGGCGACAGTGGGGGCAGAGTGTCCACCGTCAGCGTGTGCCTGTAGCCTTTCACCATCAGTGGCGTGAACCAGGAAAACGTGGCGAAGGAGAGCAGCCCCGCGTCGTCCATGGGGTTGGGTGCCAGCCTAGGACAACAGAGGCGCCGTGTTCTAGGACGCCGGGCCGTGGCCCTCAGCCCCTGGCGTACATTCCTAACAAGGGCGGTGCCCACAGCCGTGCTCCGAGCCGGTGGGCGCGCCCAGCAGTCCTCTGAGCAGCAGTGCGATCAGACCAGCTCGCGGGAGCCGATTGTGAGCCTTCCAGGAGTCTTGCGGGTCGGCTGTTAAATAGACGGTATTAGAAACCACGTGAGATCCATTTAGATCAATCACCTTACAGACAAAGGCAGTGAGTACCGGGAAGGCATCACCTCCTAATCATCGTATTGGATGTTATCAGCATCTCTGCTCTTTAGATTATGTGAGTCCAGTGTGTGACAGGGAGCTGTGAGCACCTCCTGAACAGCAGCTGTGTCTCCCTCTCACCCAAGGACAGGAGGGGTCAAGGGGTGAGGGCTCCACCAATGAATAACGGTGGGTGCATTGATGGGTGATGGATGATGGGTGGATGGATAGATGGATGATGGGTGGGTAGATGGATGGATGATGGATGAGTGGACAGATAGATGGGTGAGTGGACAATTGGAGGATAGATGGGTGGATGGATGGATGGGTGGATGGGTGGATGGATGGGTGGGTGGATGGGTGGATGGATGGCTGGATGGATGAGTCACGGATGGATGGATGGGATGGATGAGTGGACAATTGGAGGATGGATGGATGATGGATGTGTGGACAGATAGATGGATAAGTAGACAAATGGAGGATGGATGGATAGATGGATGATGGGTGGGTAGATGGATGGATGATGGATGAGTGGACAGATAGATGGGTGAGTGGACAATTGGAGGATAGATGGGTGGATGGATGGGTGGGTGGATGGATGGGTGGGTGGATGGGATGGATGGATGGGTAGATGGGTGGATGGATGGGTAGATGGATGGGAGGATGGATGGGGAGACAAAAGGACAAGCATACAGAGCCCAGCATGGGGAGCAGGGGCAGTGCCCACTCTCCTGATGGACCAGAAACGACTCTTGGCAACCTGACCTGCCCTCCCCGTCCTCCTTGCTTACCTCGCGTACGGCCTCATGGGGATCATGGTCTTCAGGCTGTGGTCGTATCTCTCTGCAAAGGACCTCCGCCGCCGGCTCCGCTTGTCCAGGTCGGAGATGAGGTAGGGGCCTTCGCCCACCATCCTGCTGGCGGTCCGGAGCCCTGGGCTCGTGGCCGAGGGGCACCCTCACTCTGCAGAGACGAGAGGCTCCGTGGGACCAGGACACTCTGGGACAGCATCAGGCAGCCCCAGGCCCCCAGCCAGCTCCCTGGCCCAACCCTCCGACATGGGCTCGCCCACCAGCCTTCCACGTTGACGGGGGAGTGTGGCCAAAAAGCCACAAGGAGGTTGAAAGTAACAGGATGAGAGAAGGAACCCACAGTAACGATCAGGATGAGGCCCTGAGAGCCTTCCCATAGCACCTCCACTCGCTCTTCAGTTACCAGCAAGCCTTCACCGCCCCTCCCCCAAAGTGCTGTGCCCCCGCTTCCCTGGATTCTCTGCAGGAAGGTGGGGGGCTGCCAGCGCCTGCAGGGGTGCTCAGACCCAGAAAACTAAGAAAAGTGGCCTCTCGCCCTTGAACAGACGCAGTCCAGCTCTGGCCAGAGGGGCAGGCGAGGGGACCTGGACCAGGCCCAGGCTGGCACCCACAGCCTCTCTCCCGCTCCCCGCCCACCCTGTCCCTCCATGGCGTGGAGCGTGGACAGCCCAGCCGTGGCCGTGCCCTGACCTGCCCGTGGCTTCCCACTGCCTCTGGGCCACTTCCCTGGCCGCAGTGCCCCGAGGGCTGCGCAGAAGGTGAGCCTGAGCGAAGCAGGCGAGCAGGCTGAGAAGAAGGAGCTCATGGCAAGTTCCGAAACCCAACTGGATCCTTTAGGGGAGAGGGAACCCCAGGACCCGAGAATTCTGAGAATCCAGGAAGGCACCCGCAGGGCGCACTCGGCGTCCCAAGGGAGGATGCCCCCCGGCCAACCAGACCAGGCTCAAGGAGCTGGGCCGCGGACGAGACGGCCCCCCTGCAGGGCTCCTACCAGCGGCGGGTGACCCCCATCCACTCTGAGGGAACAGCAGACAAGCCCAGAGGAGCGTCCTACAGAACACCGCCCCGCGCGCCCCAGGCGTGTTCGTTCCACGGAAGACATGGGGTGGGGGGGGGCATCCCACAGGAAAGGCCGCTAAAGAGACGTGACAGCTGAAGCAGCACACGGTCTGCGTTCAGTGCTGCCCCAGGAGAAACAGGAAGGATGTCACTGCAGCCCCAGCCAGTGTAGCTCAGTGGCGAGCGCAGCAGCCTGCGGACTGAAGGGCCCGGGTTCGATTCCCGGTCAGGGCACAGGCCCGGGTTGCGGGCTCGATCCCCAGTGTGGGGTGTGCAGGAGGCAGCCGATCCATGATTCTCTCTCATCATTGATATTTCTCTTTCCCTCTCCCTTCCTCTCTGAAATCAATAAAAAATATATGTAAAGGATGTCATTGCAACAGCGGGGAAGTCTGCATATGGCGGCAGGTTAGGTAACCCATCCCATCCGAGTAAACTCTTCATCTTTGCGGCTGTGCGGTTTGATGCTGATGCCGTAACCGTCCTGTGTAAGGGAGCAGCCTGTCCTCGGGAGCCACACGCGGCGGCACGTGGAGATGATGGAGCGAGGCCTGCGCTCCGCTCTCACCGGTCGGGAGAGCCACGCTGCGCCCAGGGAGCGAGACTCGGCCGCAGGGTCACTGTGGGTCGGAGTGGGCGCTGGTGAGGACCTCAGCGCCATTCTTGCTGCTTTCCTGTGACTTTGGCCTCATTTCACAGCAAGAAGCTGACCCTGTTTTAGAGAAGTAGCCCTGCAGGGCGGGTCGCTTTCCTCTGGGGAACCCCACGCCGTTTCCCCTGCTCGGTGCCAGCGGCTGCCACTGTCTCGCCCCGTGCTGGGCCCAGCCCCCGGAGGCGCCCCTGTCCAGCTAGCCGTCCCCGGACCCTCCATCCTGGTCCTCCCAGGCTGGGCTCCCCGTCCTGGAGGCCGCTCACCTGTGACTTCTGGTTCCCTCACTTTTTTTTGTGAATCCTCACCCCAGGATATTTCCCCCATTGCTTTTCAGAGAGAGCGGGAGGGAGGGAGAGAGGGAGGGACGGAAGGAGAGAGAGGAGAGAGAAACATCGATGTGAGAGAGACACATCGATTGGTTGCCTCCCGCATGTGCTCGGACCGGGACCAGGGATCGAACCTGCAACCCAGGTACATGCCCTTGACCAAGAATCGAACCCACGGCCGTTTGGTATGCAGGTTGAGGCTCTAACTGCTGAGCAACACTGGCCAGGCTGACACCCTGGCTCTTCTCCTGGCAAAGCGCCCTGGCAGCAGTGGGCTGGCAGCTGCCTGGAGGGCCTAGATCCGAGGTGCCAGCAAGGGGACGGCGTCCCTGGCCAGGTCCTGGAGTAGAGGCCGGACTCGCCCTCCGACACTCCCAGGGGGCTGGACCCCGTGGTGGCTGGCAGCGCAGCAGCTGGGACGCACGCAGGTAGATTCGGCAGTCCCGGGGGAAGTGCGACTTTATGCCAGGAAGGCTGCTTGCGCCAACCTCTGTGCCGTCTGTGCGCCAACCTCTGCCAGGAGCGAGGCGCTGCCTGGAGTGACGAATCTGCTTCCTGCGGTCCTGGGGCAGGTGGGGGCTCCTGATGAGCTGGGGGGGGCCCCTGAGGCCCCGACCGCGCCCCTAGGACCCTTCCTGGCTGGCCTCCTCCACTGGGAGCACCTGGGCGGGGGGAGTGGGGGGGACAGGCCCCGGCGTCCTCTGCTCACCGGTGGGGTCCTCACCTGACAACAGGCCGGACAAGCAGACACAGCAAGGTCTCCGCTCAGAGCAGAGTACAAACCGGCACATCTCGGACCCCATGCAACTCCCAGTCCATGTTCTTTGGGCTGCACATATTTTTAATTTTTTTTTAAATTTGAATTAGGAGATACCACAGTAACAGAAAAAAAAGACCCGTGGCCTGTATCAGACACCCAGGAGCACCGTATGCCTGTGCTGGGCAGCGTCCACCCCTCTGGCAGGGCACGCAGGCCCCGGTTTGCCGCAGGCCCCACCCTTCCCTATTGTCCCCCGACTCTGGGGTCTGGGTGACATGGCCCATCTGCCAGGTGACATTTGTCATCACGTTTGCCATACTGTCCTCCTTAGAGCAGATTCGTTTTTCTCTTTCCTTGATTCGCTCCAAAGAGGGAGGACCGCAGGCACCCAGAGGGCGTTGCAGGAAGAGAGCTTCCCGCGCGGCTTGGAGCTGTGCTATTTTTGCCTCTAACCCAGAAAACGACCGCGAGCGCTGTCGTGTTTGAGGACTGGACTCCGAGTTTCCCGCCGCCCATCGTGGACACCTTTCCAACCAAAAGCAAGTGCGCTTCCACCACAAACCTTCCTGTCCCTTTAACTAGTCTATTCTCAATTCAGAGCTGCCCAGATTGCCAGGATCTGATGGTCTCACGCCTTCCCCCCCTCACAGCCCCTCCCCCTGCATGGAGCCGCCTCCCCCTCAGAGGGGAACTGTCCGCAGTCCCTGTCCTCACCGCCCCGCCTCCCCTCCAGCTGTCCCAGCATCCACGTTGGCATCAGACCCCGGGGAAGGGCCCTGATGTTGGAGAGGGAGGAGTGGGGGAGAAGGAGCCAGGGGAGGCTGCAGGGGGGGACGAAGCCTGGGCTGCAGTGGGGAGGGGGCTCTGCTAAAGTGCCCTCAGCCCCAGGGGCCCCAACGGTGAGCAGTGATGGGTCCCCATGAGGGCACCCCTCCAGCGGGAGAGGTCGGGGCCAGACTGGAGGAGGGGGAACTGCTTTAGACCTGACCCTGCGAGCCACACAGCCGTGGGGCCGCAATTCAGGATTTTTAACAATAAATCGCGTGATTAAATCGGGAACAGGACAGTGTGTGAGAGTGTGTGACTGAGAGGTGTGTGTGAGTGTGAATGTGACTGTGAGTGAATATGTGTGTGTGTGTGAGAGAGAGAGGCTGTGAGGTGTGACTGAGTGTGAGTGAATGTGTGTGTGAGGTGTGTGTGAGTACATATATATGTGTGTGAGTGTGACTGAGGTGTGAGTGTGTGACTATGAGGTGTGTGCTGTGTGAGTGTATGTCTGTGTGAGTGTGAGTGAATGTGTGTGTGTGTGAGGTGTGAGAGTGTGTGTGTGTGTGTGTGAGTATATGTGAGGTGTGACTGTGAGTGTGAGAGACTGTGGGGTGTGAGTGTGAGTGGGTGGGTGTGAGTGTGAGTGTGTGGTGGGAAGCCCGCTGGCACTGCTGCCTTTTCGTGGACGAGGCGGAGGCTGTGAGGGGAGGAGCCAGGCCGTTGGCTGGAGGCGTCCCCGCGGCCCCTGGGCCAGGGCCCTGCACCGGGAGGCGTTACCTGGGCAGGAACGCTGGTCCCGCAGGAGGGCAGAGCTCGGGCTCCCGGGAGGCCCGGTCCCTCTCTCCACCGCTCACACTCGCTGGCCTCCCGCTGCCTGGAGTCCCCTCCAACTGCCCACTCAACTGCCGTGCCCCACCCCCCGGCGGACGGAACTCTGGGGCCCAGCATTCCTTCTGCTGCGTTAAAGGGCACCGACCCCCCAAGGGCCACCGGCCTGTCCCAGCCCGTGGGGGAGGAGAGGCCCTCCAGCCCCATCCTGCATGTGAGGAGACGGGACGGGGCTCCGCTGCCTGCCCCCTGCACCT